GACGTGTGCAAGACCGGTCTCATGGATCCTGCCGGTGACATGATCCGCATGTTAGCAGTGCCGGTTATGACGGAGGCCTTCCTGTCTCCTCTGCGGTACGTGCACTGTGGTCAGATGCGGAAACTCACGTGGAAGATGGAGAAGGCTCACGCTGAAGCGCGACTACACGGTGCTCCGAACCCGGGTACGTCCTGTGTGACGTGCTCCAAGACCGCGACTGGGTGGAAACTCGGCAAGAGCGCCAGTACCTGCAAGAGCTGCTTCCGTGTCGTATGCAGTAGCTGCAAGATCAAGAAGAAAATTAGTATCGTGACGGCAGATTTGGCGCTGTCGGAGAAGAAAATCACTTTCTGTTCGGCATGTCTGGCGGACGCGTCGACGTCGAGCGCCGTGGACATTGCTGCCGCTCAGATCCACGAGAACACACGCAGAAACGGCATTGTTCGGTCTGTTACTAGCCACTCATCGTCCAGCTCCGACCTGTTGGCGTCGCGTTAGTACTGTCGAAAGAAGATAGTCAAGAGAATTCTTTAGTAAAGTTTTAGAAAGTCTTGTTGTTAGATTGTTGCTCTTCACGTTGCCGTTGGCCTTTTGAGTTTAAACAAAATCGCTCTCTTCGTCCACTTTCGTCTCCACGAGCTTCCGTTCTTCTCGAATCTTCTCCAACGCAATGTAGTCATCGACTTGGCGGTTGATTCTCGCCACTTGGCCGCGTAGCTGTGGTGATCCACGTGCTATCGTGGCTAAGCGTCGACGCGTTTGAGTAGCATCGTCTGGACGTCGCAAAACTGTCAGAAGCACGGTGTAGTGCAGAAACACGTTGAGGATATCTTCGTCAAGTTTGGAGAGAATGCTCGCTTCGAGGTCGGAGTCAGATGAGAGTGCGAGTTTGCCCTTCAACTGGTCGTAAGCCTCAATGGCCTGTTTAAAGTGCTTCTCCGCAGCCACGGGGTCTCCCCTGCAACATCCACAAGAGACGGTTAGAACAGTGAAGTGAAGAGAATACAACGCGGCAGCGCACTCCACATACGTTTGCTTGTAGCATTGTCCAAGTCGATCCAGCAGCACAACCCGCAGGTCCTCGCATTGAACCATGCGCGTTTCTAGCGTGATATTCTCAAGAGCGTCACTGTAGAAAGGTATCGCTTCCTCAAACTGCTCCGTCTTCTCGTACGAGGCACCGATCATCATGGCCATTGCAACCACGCTCTTGTCTGGTATCGGAGTCACAGTTATACCAATGGCAAGGAACAGCAAGTAAACAGCCAACGTACCGTGCGGAAACTTCTTCTTCAGTAGATTGTAGGCCTCCTTTCGCTCCCTCATGGACTGCTCGATTTCTCCCTTCTCCAGACTCAACTGGCTGAGCTCCAGTAGGAACCTGATCTTCTTACGATCAGCGTTCTCACGCTCCTTCATCGCAAATACTACGATTAACTACTTCAATATATTGGATAGACTACTCGATATGCCATACCAGATACAAGATCCCGCCCGTGAGTGCCGCACCCAGTGCCAACGTCATCTTTACAGCCTTCTTGCTCACGTAAAACCCATCCGGTCTGCCACTGCTAGCATTGGATAACGCTCGAATCAGAGAAGTCGTCAGTACACGTGGTGCGGCTAATGGCGGGGGTGTCTGCAGCCTCCGGGGAAGCACGAGTCCGCGTCGCACCGCCAGCTTCGCGAGCATCCTGTTCACGAGGGTGAAAGCAAAATGTATCTCTTTCTCACGTCGCAATTGATACCGGTAATTTGTCGACGAAGACAACTACAGTACTGCACCCGTTTTCGCGCCCTCGAGCCTTTGATAAACTTCCGGATACAATGCCACTTTTGTTAAATATTCTCGGTATTTCTAATCAAAAACCTAATGATTTGCAAATCCTATATAGTCCACCTCCGCGAAATCGGGGTGCACCACTGTACCTGCCATACCAGTTTGAGACCGGTTTTGTAATCGATTTGTGAGACCCTCCAAAGCTTGTCCATTTTGATACATGTACCTCCAGCGTCATGCTGGGTAGCGCAGTAGCGTTACCCTCGTAGGCACCCTCCACTCGCATTTCAAGAGAAATCCTCTATCGTCCATTTGGGAACAGCTACAGCTTCTAGGGGCTTTGCGAGTGGTGTGTCCAACCAAAAGACACCATCCAAGTGGCCCAAACGGCTACGAATCACCGTAGCTGTCGGCTCGTATCTGGTATTAACGCAATAAAACTTGGTAACTTTTGCATCTCCATACTCAATACTCTGCTTATTCTTGTGTGCGCGAAAATTCAAGCTTCAGGAGACTCCAGAGAGCAAGAAGGCTCACTATCGACATTAGCCACTGAGAACGTCAAGAAGGTTTGTGTACTCCTCAACTGCTTCGAGTCTTGACGCTGCGCTGATGCTTTTTCTTTTTTACGTTACAGGGAGATTTTGACGTGGCGATCAAGTACTACTCAAGTCGTCCGAAGCCAACGCGAAGGTCCTGTCACCGAAAAAAAAACATCCGCAGCGGGCAACTTCGCGGCTCTGTGCGAGGAGTTGAAGCGATACGAGGCCGCACTACCATACTACCAGGCTGCCATGAAGAGTCTCATAGGCGTGAACCCCATAAGCGACCGCTATGTCGAAGGCTTGAATATTATGGGCCGCACGACGCACTGGTACCACCAAATGTACGTCCAGACCCTATCATGTACTTCATGGTATTTTTTGTAGACTCCAAATGGTCGCGTCTTACGGGTAGAGGGCGACACGAAACAGCGGACAAGATGCTCAAGAAGGCAATCCGCCTGTACGAAAAGTACCGAGGGGAGTTCTCTGAGTCGAGCTCTTCTGTCCTCAATGACCGCGTGGTGGCGAAGCTGGATGGGGCAAGCATTCCCGTGCTTCTCGGTTACGTTCAACTACTAGCGTCAATGAAGCGAGACAACGAGGTTGTGGACATGCGCCAGCGCGTGACCCAAATTGTGTGTGACTCCATGGCGATACGGAGCTTAGAGACCACCGTATTGGACAAATTCGACGACTTGGTGGCGCTTAACGCCATTCAAAAGGAGCATCGTCGTGAGCGTGACTATGACGGGCACAGCATGTAGGCACGCGATACATGTAAGCGTTGAAAATATGAGCGTTCATTCTTCTCTCACCATCTACAGCGCGATGAAGTCCTCGTCTTGGTCATCTGAACATTGCAGCATTGTCAGGGCAGTGCATCTGTTGTCGGAGTCGGACGAGAGTGAGAGTTGCCGGTCGGATAAACCTCAATGGCGTGTTTTCCGGCTGTCTTTGAATCTCCATCGTAAAAAATACTTCCGTTTCAACGCTCCTGTTAAGACTGAAGCTGTTTGCCTACATGTCATGACCTTTTCCGTCACGCGCCCGACGACGCTTCTCACGAATATCGTGAAGCGCTATCCAGTCGTCGAATTTCTCCAGTAGGGTGATCTCCAAGCTCCGTAACAACGGGGAATCACGCACAATATCAATGAAGCGTTGGCGGACGTCTGCAATGTCGTTGTCCCGCTTCATTGACGCTAGCAGCTGAGCGTAATGGAGAAGCAGGTTGACGATTTCTCCTTCCAGTATCGCCGCCACTCTGCCATTGGCGTTGGAAGCGTTTGATACAGCAAACTCGCCATGATACTTTTCGTACAGACGGATGGCCTTCTTGAATAGCTTCTCCGCCGTTTCGTGTCGTCCTCTATCCATTAGCACGAGCCAGTTAGATTCTACAAAAGTATACTAAGCGTACATCGCAGCATGACGTACACGCGGTGGTAGCACTGGGCCATGCGATCCATGAGCTTCACACCTTCGATACAGCGGTTGCTGATGGGTTCCACGTCCTTAAGGCTCTTCATGGCCGTCTGGTAGTAAGGCAGTGCTGCCTCATGCCGGTCCAAGATCTCCCACCGAGTCGCGTACTCGCAGGCCTGGTGGATGGTGGCAATCGGTGACAAGACATCCTTAATTGCTTCGAACGACTCGGAGTAGTACTTGGTCGCTAGGTCAAAGTCCCCCTACAGTAGATAAAGAGAAAAACTCTAATAGCATCGGCGTAAAGCCTCATAATACGCAACTGAAGGGTGATCAAACCTTCTGGATGTTCATGGAGCCCAGTGCTAGCAGCCGCTTCTGCTCTTTTCTCTCTGGAGCCTCCCGAAACTATAGATGTTGTACATACCAGAACAAGCAGAATTTTCAGCATGGAGATGCATGAGTTGGTCGGTTCTAGTGCGTTTGGTACCAGGTACAAGCTGGCAGCAACGATCAGTAGCCATTTGGGCCACTTCGATGGCGTCTTTTGGCCAGATGTGTGAGTCGCAAAGCCCCTAGAAGCTGTAGCTGGTCTGATATCGTTAGCAAAGGGAAGGAACCCTCGAGACGCGAGTGGTGGGCGCCGCCCAGAGCGCAGGAGCGCAAGTCGGAGGCCCAGCATGAGGCCAAAAGGAAACGAAATGGAGTTCAAGAACCCACAGCAAACCGATCTCATACCGGTTCGATTGATAACTTCAAGAGTGGCACTGCCTACCCGGGCCCGGGTCCCGGGGAGATTCGTAGTTCGAAGACCAACTGTCACAGCTATCGAGACCAGACAGAGCAATAACAGTACATTACAATGTGCTGATAGTGAGAGAAAGCAACAAGTTGAAACAATAATCTTGCTTGAATTTCGTAGCCACAACAACCTAGGTGATCAGTGCTCGATTCCATAGAGAAGACGGCCTTGACGCTTCAGAGCGTAAATGACGTCCATGGTGCTGATCGTCTTCCGGTTGGCGTGTTGGGTGTAGACAACCGCATCCCGCAACAGATTTGTCACGAACACTTTAAGCACAGCTCGAGTGTGGTCGAACACCAGTCCAGACATGCGAATAACACCAGCGCGACGGGCCAAACGGCGGATAGAATTCTTCGAGATGCCTTGGATTGAGTCCCGCAATATGAAGCAATGGCGCCTTGTCCCCCCTTGACCGATGCCTTTTGTTCCTTTGCCTCTCCCAGACATCAAGGTTGTTGCAGAGGCGATGAAGCTTGGCCCAAACAAGAAGATTAAAAAGTGATCTCTTTTCGACTGAATCGTCTCATTTCTCTTGATGGAGCATTGGACCATTGTTAAA